TAGTCAGATAGTCGGGTTCAGTCGGACGACATGGCAGGTTTTGTGGTAGTACAGTCCCATCTCTGAACACGAAATCAAGTCTTATGAAGAAAGAGTGGTTCTATAATACAAAACTTCACTCCCCGATCACACCAATGATCAAACCTTGTCAACCCCACTGCTGTCCCCGTCCACACCAACAATCGTAGCCTCCCCATTCCCCAACGTCTCCACCAACCGCCTCGGCCCAACATACCCCCTCTTCCTAATCCACACATACCAGCCGCCCAGCAGAATCGTAACCCCGCCCACCAACGCACTCGTATAATTCATCGTCGTAGTATCAAACGGCACCGCGAACGGGAAACAGTAAATCGGTATCCACACAACCATGTACCCACACGCTATACTCGCGACCGTATAAAACACCGGCGTGGGCATCGTAAACGGGCCCGAGATAACGTGGCGGCGCCGAGTCAGGATATTGGGTAGAATGAACGCGAGGTACGACATCGAGCTCAGCACGATGAAGGACCCTACGAAGGCGGAGAAGGCTGTGGAGCTACCGATGTATATGCATCCGAGGATTGTGTTGATACCCCCACAAGCCAACGTCGCATTAAACGGATTCTCCCACTTCCTATCCACCCTGCCCACCCACTTGCTAAACGGCGTCGCGTCATCTCTGCCCAGCGTCCAGAGCATGCGGCCAGACGTAATATAACACCCGATATTCGTGCAGAATGTCGGGACGAAGATGACGAGTAAGAGGCCGAGGGACCCCCCATGCGTGTTTGTGGCCTGCCGGTAGAGCTCGGCGAGCGGGAAGGGCCAGGGGTTTGAGAAGAGACTGTCGAGGTCGTTTACGGCGTAGAAGATTGTGATGAGGTAGAGGAGGGCGGTTAGGAAACCGACGGTGTATTGGGCGAGGATGGCTTTGGGGATGTTGGTGCGGGGGGAGGGGAGTTCTTCTGCGAGGTGGGATACGCAGTCGCTGTGGGTGGTTGTTAGTATGTCGACTTTGAATTTGACCGTGGTGGCCTTAGAATGATGGGATGCAATAAAACTCACGGCGTCCCCACAGCAAAAGCCCCATTCAACATGCCCGCGCAAAACACAAATCCATCGCTCTTCCACCCAGCCTGGTTCTGCCAGTCTTTCCACACAAACTCGTTGCTCGCGTACCCTTTTCCGGTCCGACTGGGCATGATGGCGCAGACCATGATGGTAACGAACACACCCATGAGGATGAAGAAGAGACCGATGTTTGTTAGTTTAGGCAGCGCGCGATTAGCGAACATGACGACGAAGCAGGCGAGCCAGGTGATGATGAGGTAGGCGATGAAGACGTGCCAACGCTCGAAGGCGTAGCCGGGGTGGAAGAGGCCGTACATGGAGATGATTTGGTTGGCGAGGATGGAGGAGATGGATGCTGTGCCGAAGATCCAGCCTAGGGCGTTCCACCTGTGGTGTGTTAGTTGTGCTCTTGTTTTGTATCATATCATTTGTTGGAGTGGGTTGGGTGATACATACCAGCCAGCGTAGAACCCGATTACCTTTCCGAATCGAGCTCCGCCCGTGACGGAAGCCCAGTGGTATACACCCGCTGATGAGGGGATTGCAGATGCCATCTCTGCGATACACGCCGCAATCATGAAGTAGCAACATGCCACGGCGATGAACTCGTAGATGACACCTGCTGGGCCGCCATTGTAGAGCGCAATGACCTAGACAAGGTTAGTATTCTGTATCCCATGAATCCGTACCAGAGAAAAGGATAGACGTACGATAGACCCTCCCAACGCCGCCCAAACATTCCCCGTCGTAATTCCAATCGCGCAGATACTCAACAAACTGAAATTCCTCTCAAGTTCCTGTTTGTGACCCGACGCGTTCAGGACTTCGCCAACGCCTGTCGCTTCATCGATATCCTCCGGTCTTGGCTCTTCAGCAGACTTCTTTTCCAGATCCATCTTCGAGAGTGAGAATAGATGCTAGACAATGAGCCAGCTGCAGCGCAGTTCCCTGTTGAGTTGCGATGCGATGCGTACGCGAGAAGGTCGTTAATGACTGGGATACACGCAAAAGCGATAAGTACCGTCGCAATGTCAACAACCGTCCTCTCTGCCTAGACACGGCCAACCGGAGATTAATACCACCAATCGATCAAGTCTAGACGAGTGAGCAATCGAGTGGACTCGCCGTGTCGATCGCAGATCAAACGGTCCTACGCGGGAATCGTACAAGCAAACGTCCCGCCCAAGAGATAAGGAAGCAAAGAACGATGGCGAAAAAAAAAGGACGATGAATCTGGCTGAGAAGAGTGTAACGACACAGAGGAAGAAGGAAAGAGATGTGCAATTCACATCTCACTCTTATGACGGCCCGCGACTTCGCACGCCTCTATCTCTGTCGTTGTGTTGTGTCAAACACAACAGTGACATCTACACGTAAGTACGTATGCTAAGCGACGCGACAACATTTCCAAGACGGGCAGATAAAGCAGCCCTACCAGCAACCATGCGACTTCCGTACGCACTAGTTGTACCCATAGCCCAGTTGCTAGATGCCGTCTCTACGCCCCGGTCACGGCCGTCACGCCAAAAGTCAGCCCCAGCGAAGCAAACCCATCCCAAAAAAGTCTGACCTACATACTATAGTACAACGTGCGAGCATCCGCCATCTCCGCACTCCCGCAGCTGGAATGGATACCGTGGAGACGGGTGACGGATATCAGACATCAGGGAACACTAATCACGTTGTGTCGCAGTCATGCATGTCGAACTGATAAGAGAACCTCAGGCGAGCGATGGTGGACCAGGGGTGTAAGATAAGTAAAGATCCCGGGGTTATGGATCCAGGAACGACCCAACCAATGAGGAGTGCAGAGTGAGGTTTGGTGGAGAGGCATCCCGGGAGATACGCGCATTTGGATGCGGAGATATCTTGGGTAACGAGGTGGCGTAAGGCGAGATAAGTGATTGAATGATTACTCCGAATTGGAGTTTGGAGGTGGATCGGGAGATGTTGGTGGAATGTTTTTTCCGGGCTTGAAGAGTGATTGTGAAATTTACAACGGTTGATGCTGTTCTCTGCTCTCCCCACATGAAGTCTGGAATGTGGGTTTGATGCGTGTTGTGACAGAACGGAAAACGGGCGTCCATCGAGCCGCTTACGCCCGCGCTATCCCCCACGCGTGCTAAGCGGCTCTTGCAGTCCTCCATTGGTCGTGCGACTTGATACCGTGCGATGCAGTGACATTGGGGCGTAAATTCGAGATCCACGGAGAAACAAAGGCGTGATACGCTGACAATGGCTGTGCGGTCGGGAAGTACAAATCTCTTCAGCAAAAAAAAGAAAGTAAATTGGTCCACCCACGTCCAGTGCATTGTCACCACAGCTTTTTAGGTGACGTGCGCCGGATAGGAAGGCTGTAGTGGCATGCGCTATATGCTATGTTTCCTGTTTTGTGTTTACCGCGTAATACAGTTAACTACAAAACAACAAACATAGCATATAACGCATGTCACTACAGTCTTCCTATGGCTATATTTCTTAGATACTGTACACAAAATAAACGAACGCACCTTCAACTCCGTGTCCCATGTCATGTCGCTCTGCCAGAGGTCCAGTGATTACATACGTTTCGTCCTCATTTACGCGTGAGCGATATCCGTTTCTAGTGACATATTCAATCCATCTTCAATCCAACTCATTCTGTGTGTGAAAGAAAGTAGCAGGCTCACGCGCTGCGCATCTCGGTATCCTCGGCATCGTCCACGTCGCCAATCTTCCGCTTGCTAGGCGTTGCGCTGCCCTCGTCGCCGTTGTCGTCGCCCTCGGTCCACTCGGTGACTTCCCACTCGACGTGCACGCCGCTCTCGGAGTGTCCGCCGCGCTGCTGCTTGAAGCGGCCCAGGCGGGTGTTGCGCACGATCTCTTCGAACCAGGGCGCGCCTCGCGATTGCGGTTCTGAGCGGACGACTGTGCGGGGGCGGTTTGTCCGTGAGGGTCCGGCGGCGGATGTCTCGTCCTCGTCGTCGCTGCTCTCGCTGCTGCTGGGCAGGAAGCCGAGTTCGCCTAGCATGTCCTGGTCTTCGTCGAGCAGGCTGCCGACGGTCAAGGAGATGTGCTCGGCCTCGTCTCTCGTCCGCTCATTCCATGACGAGAGCTGTGTGCCGCAGTATCCGCAGAATTGACGGCGGGTGTTCGATGTATATGGGTTGACGAAGCTGCGCTTGATGCTCAGGCGCGTCTCGTCGGGGTATTGGGCAAACGTCGCCGAGGTGTACCATGGCAGAGGGACGCGGAGCCAGAGAGTGAGGGGGTTCGCTGAGTGGTGTCCTAGAGTCTTGTTAGCACCGTGTTGGAGAGTAGCGCGCGGCAACCCAAAGCAGACTTGGGCTGCACAACACTCGGCCTGTACTTACGCGACGCAGAGGTATTGTCATATCGCAGCTCGGCCTGGCGGATCTGCTGTGTCGGCATCTCAATGACATAGCGGTTGCGTCCGCACGCGCAGGAGCCGTGCAGCGTCTGCGTCGCCATTCCGGGCTCGTAGAGGTTTGGATGAAAGCGGTTCGCGTGGTGTGTTCGGGTGCAGACAATGCCTCTGCCCATATAACTCTACAACTCGCGATTGACGTGTTTCAGTGTGTGCGGCGTGGCGTGTGGAAAGAAATCGAAATTGGCTGCTGCCCGTCGCGCCTTCCCCAGCTGTTGTGCAACGGCCCGTGCTGCGATTGGTTGACGGTCAGCCTTGTGGTATGCCGACCAAGGTTTACCCTTTCACGTCACCTGGACAACTGTAATGGCCGTGTAAGAATGAGATGGTCTTTATTTCGAGTCGGTAGCTATAGAGGATATTCGAGATATCCGTCGCGAGGCATATGTACTGCGCCATGCAAAAAGTGACAGCCATGGACCCTCGTGATACAGCCTGTCGTCATGTGTGGGGAAGCTCATGAGAGAACATTCGAGCACGCCCTGGCCCCTTCGCGAACCAGAACCTCGAGCTGTCGTCAACCACTCTTCTTCTTTTCTTCTTTCCTCATCTTAGCAACACTCTCATTTACTCTCTCAATCGCCTCCCTAGCGCCATCCCAGCACTTCCTCTTGCCTGTGCTGAACACGCGATGTATGTGCGGACTCCATATCCCGCCCATCAGCAGGTTGCAAAACTTCCTGTTCTGAAGCCAAAACAGCCAGCCTTTCCACCCGTATCCCAGGTACTCGTTGACACCGGTACCGGCAAGATTGTCCATGGCCGCGACCCAATCACCTGTCTCACATTGCCCTGGCGACAAGTTGTAAACACGCTTTGCCGTCTCTGCTAACCACACGTGGTGTTTATCCACAGCGAGCTTCATATCCGGAAGTGAGGGTAGAGAGGATTTGCCCGCCCAGACCTGGGCTATAGCCATGGTTGTCAAGTCTAGTCGTCGTCAGCACGTGTCTCGCCTAACCATCATACCTAGAGTCGCTCACCGAAAATCTTAAACCCACTAATCGTTATGTGTACAGTAGCCATGAACGCCAGACTATCCGGCTTCTCGAGTGAAAACACGTTCTTGTAGAGACGGAAGAGCGACTTCCCATTCGAGCCCGGCGCGTCGAGCCACGCTTGAGGCCGACATTCAGGATTGAAACGCGGCTCGATCATGCTGAAGTCGGACTTGTAGCCCGTACACCAGATTATTGCGTCCACGTCAACTTTTGTCCCGTCTTGCAACTCTACCTCAGTAGCATTCACAATGCGTTTGATGCCTGCGACTGATGTGATGCTGCCGTCCTCGAGGCAGGGGACTAACGTATCAGATACCACTGGTACCTTACTTGCGGGCTCGAAGCGCCATTCAGGGCGGATGTTGAAACTCTGGTCTTGCAGTTTCTTGAGGAATTTATCGAAGAGGAACTCGCCGAGGCGAGGGAAGTATGTTATGACGAGACTTTGGAAGGTGGCGAGACGTAGGTTGTGCGTGTGGTCTATCGGGACACCCTTTATGCGCCGCGGGAACTACAAGAACCATTGTCAGTCTCAAGACCTTTGCACATCAATAAGGTACGCTTCAACTTACAACCCGAGCTCCATGCCGATGTGCCAAATACACTTTATCTGCTATTCCCACCAGCTGAGTAGATGTATCCGCCGCACTGTTGCTGAACCCTACAACCATGACTCTCTTCCCCTTGTAGTCTGCCGGCCGCTTGAAAGCTTGCGAGTGCACACTAGGTCCAGCAAACTTTTCCACGCCTTCTATGACTGGCAGACTGGCCTTACCAACCATACCCCCAATCGCTACAACAACTTTATCAAAGTACTCCTTCACGCCACCTTTCACATCTACAACCCATTTCTCCCGCTCGTCATCGAACGTGATTTGCTCGATGGCAGTACTAAGCCGCATATACGGTTCTAATCCGAAATGCTTCGAATAGTCTGTCAAGTATTGCTGAACCTGCGTAGCCGCTGGATGTGACGGTACGTCGTCCGGGTAAGGGAAATCAGTGTAACACGATCGCTCTTTTGAGACGTTTACGGTTGTGGTTTGCATTACCGATGTTTGCTCTTTCTCCGAGTACTGCCATAATCCGCCGACGTGGTCGTTGCGGTCGAAACCCGTGGCGTGGAATCCTTCTTCTCGCAGGTTCTTCAATGCTACGAGGCCAGCCGGTCCTGAGAGGTTCGGTTAGTTGCTTTATCGTGTCAAGTAATAGGTGTTCTACCTAGTCCTATGACTGCTACAGTGGGAGCGTCTTCCATGATGCTAGTCGTGATGATGCGTCTTTGCGTATGTTTCTTGCCACCTGCTCTTCAGACCAACACGGCGATCGCACTCGACTCCGCACCAATCGTGTTGTTTAATAGACTTGGGAACCGTAACGCAATCACTCTTACGCCGAAAGCGAGTTGACCCTAGATATCGCGTGTGGACCTTACGGCCGTGTTGTTAGGCCGAGCAAGTCCGACGAAAGTGGAAGGGAAGACCAAAGCTACCTAGGTATACTTGACGTCGCGCACTCCGCCAACACATCGAAATCTTACATACTCTACTGTAACACACATGATGCGCTCTCTTAGCTCTGACATCTTGGTGTGCCGAAACAGGAGAGGCTTGGGTCTTGTAATTGGCTCTTTGGCCACAGAGACGCCCGAGGCTTACGCCACGGCCAGCCCCACTCTCACACGCCGTTTCCCATCTCAAGTTGCTGCGCTGCTGCGGCCCTCTTGCCCACGCGTCATATCTGACAAGTTGAATCGTCTTACTGGACGTCGAATAGTGCTAGACAAAACGCGTGGGTTTGAGTTGGAAGTTGCGATTGGGCATCTCCCCGCATCTGAAGGCAGCAGCTTTCTGTGAGGCTGTGCAAGGCAGTGGAGTAGGTACGAATAAACAAGCTTCTAGTTCGTCCTTTACGCCTTAACTTTAAGTACGCTTTCGACAAGTTCCTCGTCTTACTCTACATTGTTAAGTCGAATTAATACTGGCCTTTTATGATTTACTTTGATCATGGCTGGCCCACCATCATACCCCGCCAATACCAACCTCACGTCCAACCCACCACCCCCATCGACATCATCACAGTCCAACGCCGCATTCACACCAAGCGCAACCTCCATCGCCGACTCCTCCGACAATGAATTTGAGCCAACCCCCGTCCACAGCCCAGGCGGACCCCAATATGAAGATTTGCCACCATCCTACGACGAAGCCCGCGACCAAGCCGTCCACGACACCCGTCATGGAATCGCGCCCGTAGACCCCAGCCAAATCGAAGCCCACCGCATCACCACCAACGAAGGACCAAATGAGCCAGAAATATGGGAGTACCGCGTAAGAGGCGAAGAAACAGATCCCGCAAGTGAACAGGAACAAGCACCAGACTATGCGAATCACACAAACGACAAGGCCACCAGTGTTCCAGTCCAGCATGTCAGTACGAGTGAGAACATCGCAGTGGGACGAGTGTATAGCGGATCTACTTCCTCGAGCAGCAAAGAAAAACAGCATGATCTAGCTTCTGACTTGCTCACCCAAGCTCTGGAGTTCAGCCGTGAAGAACCAGATGCAAAGGCGCAGTATGCACCGCATCTAAACCGCATCATCGCGATACCCGAGCACGCAGGACCAGCAAGACGTGCAGACGAACACGTATACTTCCTAGTTGCGTACGCTGAAGTGTTGGACCGACATTCCATCAAGCCAGCCGAGTTTGCCGACTTCCTATACGGTCTACAAGTCCTGACTACAGCGGCGCACACGACAGCTGAAGACTTGCTTCAAAAACCGTCCCATCAAGGACTCTCTTCCAGCATCGTACACGACTACATCCGAGGAGCGAATGAAGCCTTCTTCGCGCCAAGAGGCCTGATTGTGTCGTTCCGCAGCGAGACGGCGCTTCTAGACATGCTTCCCATACCTGCGGGCCACAAACCCAGCGTTCTCGCCAACCTGGCCGATAAGACTGCAACGGCTGAATGGCGTGCAAGGCAATTATACCCCTGGATCGAAGCTCTCGACGCGGACGCAGTGCCGATGCCGAGCGAGAGAGTGCTCAAGCTGCATGAGATGAGTGAACGTTTCTCAGGTCCGACGACGGCTACTGGCTCGCCTGATCATGCTGGAAACAGCGGTCTTGGATCTGCTGGTGCACATGAAGACCCTCCTCACTCCATCCCCGGTCCTCCAGAGGAATCCTCCCACGCACACGGTCGACACGGACGAGGCGCCCATCATCCCCGCGGCAGACGAGGCGGCCACTGGTCGCCGTTTGGTATGCCTGGCCATGGCCCCTTTGGTGCACCCGGCAACGGTCCATTTGGCGCTCCCGGGAATGGGCCTTTCGGACGTGGTGGCCGAGGAGGACCTTTCGGACCCCGCGGCAACGCCTTCTTCGGTCGAGGAGGCTGCTCCCCTCGCGGCGGACGAGGACGCGGACGCGGACGTGGACCACCACAGTCCGCAAACGAGTGGGCGGAAGTAGGCAAAGAACTAGGGAAAATCGGTGAGCAATTCGGTAGACATATGGGGGATCTAGGTGTGGAGATTGGGAAGCGTGCGAGTGCTTTTGGGGTGGGGGTGGGTAGGATGGCTAGTGGAAACGCAGGTGGAAGTATGAGTATGAGTGGGAATAGAGGGCCTACTACCTCAGGTCCAACTTCTTACGAGCAAGTCCACAACGACCTTCCACCTGCGTACGACACGCCACCGGGACAGGAGACAGGCGTGCTATATGGCGATCGTAAAGTCGACACGGCATACCCTACCGACACGAAGGATAAGGGGAAAGCTGTTGCAAAGGACGTGGATGACGACGACGACACCTCCTCGTTGTCATCTGATAGTTCAGACTCAGATTCAGACTCCTCGGATGACGACTACGACTCCGACTCCTCCATCACCCCCGCCACCACCGACAAGACCAAAGCCCTCAAGCTCGCACGCCGCCAGATCAAACAGCGGAACCGTGAGCTGAAGAAACAACACCGCGCCAAGAAACGCGAGTTGAAAGCCAAACACGCGGATACCAAAAGCAAAGGCAAAGGCAAAGCCAAGTCCAAAGCAAAGAAAGACCCGGAGTACAAAGCAGCGAAGAAAGAGTATAAAGCGCAGAGGAAGGAACTGAAGAAAGAGAGACTGGCTGTGAAAAGGGAGTGGCGGGAGGCGAGGGACGAGATGAAGAGGGAGAAGAGGGGGGTGAAGGGTATGGTAGCTGGGAGTAAATCGAGAGAAGTGCCTATGAAAGAGGGAGAAAGGAACGAGAGGATCTGGTTGGTGATCGAGAATTTGGCGCCTTAGATAGATGGAGGGTGATTGTACTGAGTTTGGGGAGTGTTGATATAAATGAGATTTGGGTGGGAACATCCTACCCGCAGCCACAATTTACCACATCAAAAACACAGCATCAATCACATACACACAGCCGTTTGCACGCCACGAGCATTCTTGAAAAAGATCTTGTCAAAATACAATCCAGTCAAGTACTTCATACAAAAAACTACAATAGTAACCTATGCCGTCTAAAAACGCTTTCACAGCAATCATCTTACTATGCACATATTCCCTCCTCCCTTCCTTCCTTTCATCCCCATCAAGAGCCTGCTTATGAAAGCATCCTGCTCATATCATTCCTAATCCTGTTGTAATCGAGCAGACCCTCAATCTGGCCCACAGCCGAGACAGCAACGTCCTTGTCCCACAGCCTGTTGCGGGCGAATTGCATAACGTCCTTCTCTGTGATGCGGCCGACGACGCGCTCCACCTCCTCGGGTGATAACCGGCGGCCGGTGGTGACAATTTGGCGGCCAATATCCTCGGCGACGGCCGTGGTGCCGTCGAGGGCGAGGAGGATCGAGGCCTTGAGTTGGGCCTTGGCGCGCTCGACTTCGGCGGACGTGACGTTCATGGAGAGGCGGGACCACTCGCGGAGGGTGAAGTGGACGAGGTCGTCGAGCTGAGTCAGGTTGGAGCTGGTGAGGTAGATTCCCCAGAGACTAAGGTTTGTTAGCGAATATTTATAGAATCATTCGATTATGACGTACCCAGTGTCCGAGTAGCTGGTGGAGAAGCTCATGAAGCTGTTGGCGAGGGCGTTTTGCGAGACAAAGTTGCTGAGCTTGCTGCCAAGGTAGTCGGAGGTACCCATGGCACGGTCCCAGTTACCGACGATAGCCTGTGTGACGAGCGCGGTGAAGTAGTCGGGGTCGCTCCAGCTGACACCCTCAACGGCAATGGCGATGTTGGCGGTGCCCATGGTGTCGTCACGGAGGCGGACCTCGGAGCCGATGAAGTCGGGCTTTGCCTTTTGCTCAGCAGCGGCGGACTTGGCGGAGTAGTCCTGGGGCTCTGAGGGGAGGTTGGCGAAGTACTTCTCGGCGAGGTCGACCAATTGCTCGTGGGGGATGCCACCAGCGCCAACGAGGACCATGCGGTCAGCGGTGTAGTTGGTCTTGATGTAGTTCTCGAGGTCGGCGCGCTGGATGCTCTGGATGTTCTCCTTGGGTCCGAGGATGGTGCGGCCGAGGGGCTGGCCCTGGAAAGCGGTGGCGTGCAGGTGATCGAAGACAACCTCCTCGAGCTGTTTGTCCACCTCTTCCTGTTCGCGGAGGATGACATCACGCTCGCGCTCGATGGCCTGGGCCTCGAGCTTGGAGTTCTGGAGGATATCGGAGAGAATATCGACGGCGGCGGGGACATCGTTGTTGAAGGCCTTGGCGTAGTAGACGGTGTTCTCGCGCTGTTTTGGTCAGTATCCGGCCCTGGGAATTCTTCGTTCCGTATGACGTACCGAGGTGTAGGCGTTGAGGTGGCCGCCCATGTTTTCTATCTCGAGCTCCAACTGCTGCTGTGTGCGCTTCTGGGTTCCCTGTGCCATGCATCAGCGTGCTGTCCCGGCCATTGCCATTGACTGTCCGTACCTTGAAGGCAAGGTGCTCGAGGAAGTGGGCAGTGCCGTTGGTCCTGTCCGTCTCGGCGCGGCTTCCAGCGTCAATCCAGACACCGACTGTCGAAGTCTGGGCCCACGGGGAGTGCTCGGTAGCGATCTGCGCAGGCGGGTCAATTGCAGTCCTGCATCCTCGTACAATGGCGGGCATACCGTGAAGCCGTTTCCGAGGGTGGTCGACTCGGTCTTCGCGCCGTAGGCCACGGGCGTGGCCAGGCCGCGGGTCAGAGGCGAGGCCCGCGATGATTTGACGGCGTTGATGGCGGAGCGCGAGCGCATGCTGCGCTGCAGGTTGAGGGCGAGCTGGCGGGAAGCCATTGCGTCTGCTCGCTGTGCAGGGGATGGGAGATGGGGCGGTGATGGGTTGGGGTGGATGTCGATACGTCCAGCTGCAGCGCGGCCTAGGTGAGGTGGATGAGTTTCGTCAAATCTGCGATCACGGGACTTTCCGGCTGCCACCGCTGGCCAATGAGGGCGGCAGGGACGTCAGCAATCGACATCCGAGGCATTGTCGTCAACTACGACTGCGATCCCGATATTGCTTCTTGCGACCTCCACGACCCCAAGCAGACAATCAGACTGCACAATGGCCTCCGTCATGCGTCCCGGCCTCCTCAGGCAAGCTTGCCCGCCCGCCCAGGCCTCGCAGCGCATGCTGTCCACCGCGACCTCGACCCTCAACCGCCCGCTCGCCCAGTCGCTGCGACCAGCATTCCAGCGCTCAGCCATCCCCCAGTCGACCCGCATCGCCGCCTTCCACGCCACACAGCGCAACCAGATCCTGCCGCCGCTGCCCCAGAAGATCATCGGAACCACCAACGACCCCGTCCCCGTGCCAGACCCCGACTACGCCCACGGCAGCTACCACTGGAGCTTTGAGAGGATCGTCTCGGCTGGTCTGATTCCCTTGACCATTGCGCCCTTTGCTGCTGGATCGCTGAACCCGCTTTCCGACTCGATTCTCTGCGCTCTTCTGGTAGTCCACTCGCATATTGGATTTGAGTATGTAGATCGAAATTGTATCTTGAGTTACAGTGGCTAACATATCACAGGTCCTGCATCATCGACTACTTCCCCACCAAGCGTGTTCCCCTCGTTCGAAAGTCTGCCATGTGGGCTCTCCGTGCCGGAACTGTCGCATTGGGTCTTGCCCTCTACTCTTTCGAGACAAATGACGTTGGTATCACCGAGGCCGTCGCGAGGTTGTGGCACGCATAGATACATCTTGGGACTTGTACTACAAATGCAGAGGCAGCGCTTTTTTCTGATTGAAGTGTCGTCTCGTTTGGAGTGTTGTGATGGCTCTGCTTGTCGTTGTGGTTAACCTCACCAGCCTTCATCGTTCTAGCCCCGCCCTTCTACAGGCTTATCGAGACGGGGTGTTTACGACCTAGGAGATACAGACTCGTCTTGCTTGCATCCCCACCGAGAGTACATGATGAGCATAGAGATCGGCTTATTAGATGTGTACTGCTATTCGCCACTCAAATATTGGTCCGACTGATGATCAATTCATTGACGATGGCTCAGACAAGTCCAGCTTACATTGCGCCGTACTGTGATAGACAGGACTCTCCTCTAGACCCCACCAGACGCCCCATCTGGTTTTCATGCTTACATTATACCAGCCACGCGATTGTCAACTGTTGTTGATGCTCTCGGCGTGATCATGTCCTCCCACCTCATGCAATGGAAAAGCTGAATACCCTGGAGCCTACGTTGACCTTAGGCCACCTACTTTGTATGATTTATCTTGATGTAGGCCCTAGGGTGTTCGGTCTTTTCCTAGGCTGACGTGCTCCGTGCTGCTGCTACTTACTTAGTCTCAACCTTCCATTGCTCCCAGTGCGTCTTCTCTGGATTGAAAACCATGCCAAACACCTCTTCAATCCCCTCCTCATCCACTTCGAGCTTTCCTTCGTAATCCTCGTGCAGTGCACCATAATTGCCGTGGACGGTGTCGTATACCTCAACCATGATGATGTCCGCTTCTTGCTCGTTCCGCACCCCCAGAAAACCTGTCTTCCTCGGTCCAAGAAACATCATCTGCGCCCAATTTTGCTCCGCCATACGACAGCATCCTGTCGGACAGAACGCATTCGTCAAATCAAACTCTAGGTAGTTCATACGCTTAAACTCTGGGCCCCCACCGTATTTGAAGAAACGATAAAGGTCCTCGATGTAACCATCCAAATCACCGTTCAGATAACTCAGAGCTCTCTCATGCGCAATTTGAAGACGAGCCGCGGGAGCTAGGCTGTCGAAATCGGCCTCCTTTTTCCAAGTGGAACGATCGAGAACGGGAAAGCCTTTGATAGAGCGCCAACTGAAGCCCATGCTGATACTCTTGATCAGACGGGGAGCTGAAGCTGAGAAGAGCCACCGATCTGGGAAGGGTACATGCGTGCGGGTGATATCCACGCTCTTAGTGTTGTGGCAAAGACCTGTTCCTACAAATGGCTGTCTTTTGGTGCTTTCATCCGGTAGTACAAATAAGTTGTTGGCTAGGTAGACTTCCTCAGCCTCGCCATGAACCTGCTTGTTAGTGCGGAGGATACCCAAAGACGGAACCTAAAGATGAGTGTACGAAGTCAGTATTTGTCTCACATACAGTCCGTACATGGGTATTACTAACTCGATAAGACTCCCAGTCCTTGAAGCGTTCCTCGTTTTCGGCAGCGTAGGCGTCGGGTGTATAGAAGACCTTGCCAACAATCACTAGCTCTTCATACACCATGACTCGAAGTTCAACAGGCAAATCGAGGAACCGGAATGGCGTGAAGGCAGTCGTATCCTGAGACGTGGTCGTGGTGGTTGTAGTAACTGTGGTTATGGTTGTCGTCGTCTTTGTAGTTGTGACTCCGGCGCGATCGGCGGCCTGGATTGGCGGCAGTGAGGTGACTGAGTCCATAGTCGTTGTTAATGCTGCTGACGTGGGTAAGGAATACGTTCCTGCTACAATGTCCAGGCAAAGTTGATTCCAAACAGTGTGGTTGTCCGGGTAAGAAGTAGAAGAAAGAAAGGCTAGTCTTATAACACGCGTGGTAGCCTAGTGTTACATAATGAGAGGCGATACATATACCCAGAGTGGTCCGTGTGCGAAAGAATCAGGCAGACGATTAGGAAGGAGCTCGTCCTACTTCTTGCGCTGGTGAGCTTTCCCTGCTTTCGTTACAGACCTAGTGTTTAGCACCCCCGCCTGAGCTAGGAACTTCTGTCCCTAATGGGTCCACGGTCGTGGTATTGAGATCAGTCCAAATTCTTCTTAAGAATTGACTTGCTTTATTCCGATAGAGGTACTCAACACCTCTGCTGTGCATTGGTGCTTGATACCTCGGAAAGACGCATGTCCCAC